CGCACACGCTTCTCTGCTTCATACCGTTTCGAACTGTCTCGCTTCTCCTCACCAGTTTTAAAGCGTTTTGCCGGAGATTTCATCAAGAAATCCAATCCCAGTGGTGGCGCGATCTTCCTGCGTGCTTGTGTGTTTCTAGCGTGGTTCCACTTCGTCTTTAATAGTGACTTATAGTTCACGTGACTATAAATAATCGTGCAGTACGTGCACGAATCGTACAAGTGCAGTAGGTGGCTAGAGGCGTGCAGGTTCACGCGCGCGAAACGAAAACGGCAGCTTCCTACAGGGCGGGGCCATGATGTAGGCGAAAGCCGGTGTGTAAATGACAAATAAAGCTTGGGCGCCACCCGGGCGCTAAGTCGTCAAGTATTTACCGCCCGACGAGAAAATTTAGCGCCAATGGCGCTCGGGCGCTTTAACGGTCCACCCCTGTGTTGGATTAAGCTGTTAAAACGACAAACTCACAAAGAGGAGATAAGTTTTGTTTTTGGTATAACCGCAGTGAATTAAAAACAGACACTAGGATATGCTAAAAGCAAACAAAACTGCCTAGCATCCCTTTTAATTATTTGTTGTATTGAAACAGTATTTGGAACAAGTATTGTATTGCTTTGAATTGTTAACCTACCATAAGTGGCCACTGGTGGCATTTTTGTAAATAAATTAATATACAGGTCCTTCTAAAAAATTAGCATATTGTGATAATTTTCATTATTTTCTGTAATGTACTGATAAACATTAGACTTTCATGTATATTAGATTCATTACACACAACTGAAGTAGTTCAAGACTTTTATTGTTTTTAATATTGATGATTTTGGCATACAGCTCATGAAAATCCCAAAAATTAGCACATTTCATCCGACCAATAAAAGAAAAGTGTTCTTAATACAGAAAAGTCAACCTTCAAATAATTATGTTCAGTTATGCACTCAATACTTGGTCGGGAATCCTTTTGCAGAAATTACTGCTTCAATGCGGCGTGGCATGGAGGCAATCAGCCTGTGGCACTGCTGAGGTGTTATGGAGGCCCAGGATGCTTCGATAGCGGCCTTAAGCTCATCCAGAGTGTTGGGTCTTGCGTCTCTCAACTTTCTCTTCACAATTTCCCACAGATTCTCTCTGGGGTTCAGGTCAGGAGAGTTGGCAGGCCAATTGAGCACAGTAATACCATGGTCAGTAAACCATTTACCAGTGGTTTTGGCACTGTGAGCAGGTGCCAGGTCATGCTGAAAAATGAAATCTTCATCTCCATAAAGCTTTTCAGCAGATGGAAGTATGAAGTGCTCCAAAATCTCCTGATAGCTAGCTGCATTGACCCTGCCCTTGATAAAACACAGTGGACCAACACCAGCAGCTGACATGGCACCCCAGACCATCACTGACTGTGGGTACTTGACACTGGACTTCAGGCATTTTGGCATTTCCCTCTGCCCAGTCTTCCTCCAGACTCTGGCACCATGATTTCCGAATGACATGCAAAATTTGCTTTCATCTGAAAAAAGTACTTTGGGCCACTGAGCAACAGTCCAGTGATGCTTCTCTGTAGCCCAGGTCAGGCGCTTCTGCCGCTGTTTCTGGTTCAAAAGTGGCTTGACCTGGGGAACGCGGCACCTGTAGCCCATTTCCTGCACACGCCTGTACACAGTGACTCTGGATGTTTCTACTCCAGACTCAGTCCACTCCTTCTGCAGGTCCCCCAAGGTCTGGAATCGGTCCTTCTCCATAATCTTCCTCAAAGACCGGTCACCATCTCATTGTGCAGCGTTTTCTGCCACACTTTTTCCTTCCCACAGACTTCCCACTGAGGTGCCTTGATACAGCACTCTGGGAACAGCCTATTGGTTCAGAAATTTCTTTCTGTGTCTTACCCTCTTGCTTGAGGGTGTCAATGATGGCCTTCTGGACAGCAGTCAGGTCGGCAGTCTTACCCATGATTACGGTTTTGAGTAATGAACCAGGCTGGGAGTTTTTAAAAGCCTCAGGAATCTTTTGCAGGTGTTTAGAGGTAATTAGTTGATTCAGATGATTAGGTTAATAGCTCGTTTAGACAACCTTTTCATGATATGCAAATTTTTTTGAGATAGGAATTTTGGGTTTTCATGAGCTGTACGCCAAAATCATCAATATTAGAAACAATAAAAGGCTTGAACTACTTCAGTTGTGTGTAATGAATCTAATATATATGAAAGTCCAATGTTTATCAGTACAGTGCAGACAATAAAGAACTTTATCACAATATACACATTTTTTGAGAAGGACCTGTATATAAGTTTCCAAGGATAGGGCTTCACTTTAATTGCTTTTACAGCATGGGTGTTACGTCTTCTACTGTTGAGCGAATTAAAGAGCACAAACTGACCTATTTCATCCTGACCTAAGACAGAAGGACAAACATGTGTTCTAATGAGATGACCAGTGTATACAGGTGCAAGTCAAAATGTTTGACATGAAGATATATTGGTAGATGAGCTCTAAGTGCTTTTTCCCTGGACTATCTATATGCTAACATATGCAATTTGGTATGTTTGTGCATGCTCCGGCTTGTGGTATTTATGCTGTTTGACACTTTTGAAAGAATCCCAAGGTGACATTTCTTTGAAAAGAGTGCAAGAAAGGCCACACATCTCTTTCAGTGCGTGTATGTACGGGAGGTGAGTGTTTATGTGACAAAGGGGTTATCAGAAAAGTCATGGTTGGTTGAGTTTGTCTTTTGTTCTCTATGCACTTCCAGCCAATTAAGAGACAAGATTGACAAATCTTCTCCTCCTTCTCTTTCTCCTCCTTACGCCTACACCCTCCCGGTGCCTTCCTTTCTACTGTTTTCTTTTACGTCCTCTTTTTATTCTCTTCCTTTCACCGTTCTCAAGTTAGGTTGACTTTCATATTTGAAGTGACCTTCCAGTTATGTGAACTTTATAACAATATGAATCCCACCTCTGCAACAAAGCCAAAGGATGTTGTTTTTTTTTCTAACTCTGCCGGTCTCTCGGCCAAGCCAAGATGCACTCTTTACACCTGAGGGTATAAATCCCAAAAAGTATTTTTCTTTCTTCTTCTTTTTTTTCTTGAGGGTAATTTTACTGTAAGAAGTTCATGAAAGCTGAAGTATATATATAGCTTTACTTCTTCATTGTTCCTGTTTTTCACCTTCCATAGCATTAAATGTGTATAAGTAAAATAATTTGTTAGGCATACATTTGAAACCTTTTGGGGAGACTATAATTTGTGGGGCGCATACGTAAATTAAGCGTTGGGGAAAGTGATTGTAACACGTTGCATGGATGTGACATTTTGGGTTTCGTGTTGGAGTTTCCTTTAAGAATGGATGAGGAACCCCTGATAAGAGCAGACATGAGGAAAAAGATAAATGAATAAGCAATGAAAAGTTTGAAGGCAAGGAGAGAAGAGGTTGTGCTTTCATATTTTGTCCATTAAGGCTTTTCCAGCAGCTCTGCTTTTACATTGTCAATAAATGCAGACTTTCCTTTCCTTGTTTTTTCCACCATCTCCTGCAGATAGATGGATTACGATTCTAAAGTATTAGCTGGGGATTTGCATTAGCAGCAGAGCAAAAGAAAAGCTAAAAGCAGATTAATGGAGGGGGATAGGAAATAAATAGGTTTCTAAAATGTTTCACTGTGAGACAGAGTCTTCGACAAAGAAACGGGGAGGAACACTGATAAAAAAGAGAGACGGGGGTGACGGCTCCTTTATATATAAATGTATTACATTTTTGAGTGTAGTTTTTTTCTGCCGTGCAGTTACAGCTGGTGCATAACCAAGGTCAAGGTATTCAGATGAGAATAGATTAAATGTGTTCAAGCAGATATGTGCAAAGTTTTCTCTTTTTTTTTTTGACAAATGAGAAGGACTTCAGTGCTGATTGTGACCCTGGTCAAGGAGAACGGAGGTACAGTAGTTGAGTAAAATCATTGCTTGGGCTGGTCACACGTCATATCTACCCAGGGTTTATTTTCAAACAGGATAGAGACTTCACAATGACTACAAGGTCTTTAAGTGCTAATGAAAAACACAGTGGGCTGAGGATTGTTTTAAGCCTAAACATCTGTAGCAAGGGCATAGTGGTTGATCACTGTGGTAGCAGCACATCTGGAACCTGTGTGGAGCATGGTGGTAGCAACGTATACCCCCTAGTGGTTTCATGAGCATTCATGCAGATTGGTCATAATAATTTAGTGCTAGTTTGGACATAAAGATCTCATATATATAGGCTACATATCCACACATCATAAGTGCTTGCAAGGCATGGTCCTCCAGTTTGGTTTGAAGGAACTCCGCCAAAACCTTAGGTCTTCTGTGGAATCGTGGGCATATCTGGTAGGAATGTGGTGGAAAAAAAACAGCGTACATTTACAGCATGGTGTAAATTTTGATGAGTACTTGGGAGTAGCAGTACTGTGATTGCATTTTTACCAATGATTTTCCAAAGTTGCTTTAATCCAACCACATTTTAAAATATTTGTAACTATGCTACGCTAGCATGTTGCTAAGATGCTTGGAAAAAATGATTGAAGCATGCTTGATATGCAGTTTTGCCATTGTAACGAGTGGCTTAAAGATACTTTTGCTGCCATTTCGTCCTTGTAAGATTTATTTAGAGATTAACCCTTGAGAACCCGTGGTCAGGCCATTTCAAGCATCTGCACAATTGCTTCTTGAGTTATATATTCATGTTAAACAGCCCCAAGTGACATTCTGTCCACACAAAAATCAAAAATTATTTATACTTTTTTTATTTATTTATTTTTTCTAAATTGTGATGTATTTATTCCAATCTGTTTTGTATTTTAAAAGGATTTGTTAGTTTTCAAGGGTTAATGACAACAATCTTGCATGACTGATGTTTCCCCTTATTTAAACATAGTCTTTATTTGAAAGGTGCATGTTGGAAATAAGCTCCTCCATTTTGGCTGTTTTGCTGTAAATTCCTTTCATTTCTGTGCTTCCGACTACTTTCCCCTTTCTTTCAACCTCAGGCACGCAAAGGATTTGTCTGATCATTCTGAACCAGCCTGTTGATAAGGACCACCTACACATCCTCTGGAGGAAAGGTATGCAAGTCACACATCATAACGATAGATCAGACAGGAGCTTTTTTACAAAGGTGTGTTACTTAGATCCCAACATATATTCCCTGGTGGTTTTTGTAAGTCTGTGCTCTCTGTAGCCAGCTCGCAGCAAAAATTGATTTGATGCCATATCATTGAGAAAGCATCAGTCTCTACTTTCTGCCTGGTTTCGCACTTTTTTTTTACAGTCTAACAACAGGAGAACAAAACGGACGTTAAGGCTACACAGAGTTTAAACTGAATGCAGAAATGCTTATTATCATTAAACGTATTTAAATCCATCATTTCTCTAACACCTGTTGAACAAGCGGAGTAGAAAACCGCAGATATGTGATGTGCCTGACTACTCCATCTAAAGACAAGCCAATCACAGCCATATGGTGCTCATTATGCTGGAAAATTGCTGTGAACATGCTTCAGATGAACACCCATAATACAGAATATAATGACATGAGTGAAAAAAGATAAATGACGCCAGTTTACCAACACTACAAGGTTATCCTTATGTCTCTTTTACCCTTTTACACATTTCCTTGTTACACAATTTGTCAAAGGTGGATTATAAGCAGGCATGTCTTAAAAAAGTAAGGGGGTTGCTGTTTTTTCCTCTACTTCTAAACAAAAATTGTCTTTATTTCCACGTTTTTACAATAAACACAATTGAAATAGAAATGAATAAAAATATGACTGGAAGAAAGGGAAATCAGGACTTTGTCCGTGGACAACGGTTGTGTTGGTGAGAGTATTTTTACCCTCTTTTCTGGAACAGTAATTAACAAAATAAAAAGTAGGTCTTTTGAAAAGGCAAAGATATATATTAAAGTGAATTCCTCACTGAATGAAAGTGGATCACTACTACATGCCAACTCCTTTCCCTCAGGTACAATTATAGGTTAATGACATTGTTCATAATTTAACAATCAGTAATACAATTAATTCTGTTCATTTCACTGTGTAAGTAGAGGAGTGTGGTCAAAGTCATAGTAGAATGCATGCAAAATGGAAGGTGCACGATTCCGGCGTGGCTTGGTTATTGAGAATTTTAAGCACCAGTTGCCCACTGGCTTCATACCTGGGTTACTGCTCCACATTCAATCAACATTGTGTACATGCACTGTGATTTTCTTCTGAAAAGCGGCATCTTGCCGTGGCCTGAGAGAGTTGTATGGGTACCGGGCCTAGAGAGTTGTGAGATACTGGACGTATCTGGTTGGACTGAAGTGGGAAGGCTGACAGATTAGGTGTGTTGAGGGTGCAGGAGTGTGTCTTGCAAATACAGAAAAGAGCAGGAAAGTGGTTGTTGGCAAGTACTCAGCGTAGAAGCATCATGATTGCCTGGACATTGAAGAAGGTTTCCATATTCGTTGTAATCCAGCCAATTTCTAACAGGTGTGGAGAGTGTTGTGTGGTCTTAATCCAGCGTGTAGGGTTAGGGTTATGTTCATAAACTAGTTTTGATTAGATTAATTTTGGGCCTAAAAACAAACAGAGTCAAATTTACTGTTTACGCAGAAGAGACATGGTCTACATCAGGGGTGTCAAAGATGCGGTCCGCGGGCCGGATCCGGCCCACAAGCAGGTTTAATCCGGCCCGCGAGATGGTTGTATAAACTTTATTTTCATACTTTACAATGTAGAGTGAAAATAAACTTATCTTTGTGAGCAAGTTTTCTCTGTAATGAGTATAAATAAAACAAAGCTGCGCTCAAGGCTCACACAAGAACTTGAATCACATCCTGAAGTTGGCCGCCACTCAGGATGTGACTTCTGATATCGATGTGCTGGTGAAAGCTAAAAGATGTAAAGTAAAATGAGTCAAATATACTTTAAGTGCTGCAAGAAACTGATCTTGCCATGTGATCTGTAAGCTCTTTGAATCACTAAGGAATGTTTATTTATTTATTTATGTATTTATGTATTTATTTATTTATTTATTTTCAAATTTTCAAGTACACTTCAGGTGTTGTACTTGTACTACACTGTCCTCAGGCTCCAGCCTTGTTTTATATTGATTGAATTAAAACAAAGAAAACAATCTGAAGTTTTTTTTATTTATTTAATGGTCCGGCCCACCTGGGACTAGATTTCCCTCAATGTGGCCCCTGAGCTAAAATGAGTTTGACACCCCTGGTCTACATATTTCAAACGAAGAACTGTCCTATAGCTGCATTCAGCATGCCCCTTTTAGATTTCACCTCAAAGCTTTTCTTTCTGTTGCACAGCTGTCATACAAAACCATCAAACAACCCACAGCTTGGTGAAAAGGACAAAATAACATTTCCTTTTGGGTCGGACGCCTCACAATCATATTCAGACATGCAGTAATTGGCACAATATAAAGTCACTGAATGGCTCCACTTTTGCAATCACAGAGTTGCTGTTGTGCCCATGGGCATTGTGGTGATTGTTGTTGAAGATGGCTAGAACTGTGCTCAGTCACTTCTGCATCAGTCTTTTTGTTTGCTGAAGTCGTGCAGCAGAGTATGTATTGTAGTTGTTTATCAGACCATGTCAACAAGCCTTTTTGTGGGTTTAGAGTCTGTTTACCTCGACAACATAAATGTCTTTAAAAACACATTTTATGAAGCAGACAATTCACTTTTGATATGGATTAACGTATAAGAATGCAAACCATATACTGCCGTTTTAGCCAGTAGTTAGCTTTCCTTTTAAATCTGATAAACATATCAGAGCTATGCACAACTTAAATTAAATAACACGTACTTTGTTTCGTCAAGAGCAGAGCGCAAAAATTCACCTGATCCCAAGTTCTTTACAAATTTGATGCCAAGGCCAAGCATCATTTAAAGCAGGGTTTCCCTTACATAGGCGTAGCCGTGGCAGGCTGCCACGCCTACAACATCCCAAGTGATGTTTTTTTTTTTTTGCGCCGTTTCCCGAAGAAGCAGCGGGAACTACTGTGTTGTTGCTTGTGATCACAGCCGGCAGGTAGCAAGGAGGAGGAGGCAGGGCAGGGTGGTTACAGCTATGAGCGTACGGATAAAGCATTTTTGACGAATACGAGCAAGAAACGAGTGTAAAACTCGAAAATATCTGTAATCGTGCTGAATGAAATCCTCACTGGGTAACTGACTGTCTTCACGCTCTGTGATTGGCCAGTCAGATAGAGTGCCCACCCCTCCCTATACACAAAACTGCAGCCGGGAGCTCAGTCAGCTCGGCCCAGGCATCAACGCACACACACAGACAGACAGTAAGCCGAGCGGACACTGTGCGACTTTTTCACTTTTTTGAGCAGATTTTCCACTCGTGCGAGAATCCACGACATCGGGGCGAGTTTAGCGCTGAGCGTCGTGTAGTGTACAGGGGGTTACGAGAGGCGATTAACACCACGTGACCAGCTACCGATCAGCAATCGTGCGCTCGCACGGACTTCTGGAGTGTTTAATATTTATCTCGTTCCTCGTGAGGGTATCGTACTCTTTAAGCGGCGCAGCGAGCAGCTGTGACCCAAAAAGTATCAGAACCGCTCACGGCGCATGCGCAATCCTGCATCAACTCCGCTCACCCGCTATTTCCCCAATAACACACATTGTTCGTTTTTATTTCTACACGTTTTTTTACTCACATTGACTGTCAAGAAAGCGTGTTTGTCGTGTTCATGTCAAATTAAACTGATCACAAAACACAGATTTACTTTATTTTGTTTTCCTCATCCAACCCCCATAAATCCCTGTGTGTCCTCCTGCAGCACTCCCGAAGAACAACAGGCAAAACAAGACAAAAAAGTCTGAGGTGTTGAGTAAAAACCGCTATTTTTAGCATATTTTAGGTCCGACGTGTTGCTACCAGACGTACAGTGAGCCCATGGCTTGTGAGATCTACCCTGCGCTGAAGTCGTACAGTTAGAGCTGAAGCTGAGTGTTACGAGTGAAAAAGTCGCACCGTGTCCGCCCAGCTTATTATAATGTTCACTGTAATGCATCTTGATGTTCTTAACAAATAAATTAAATCAAAAATATTGGTCAATAATGCCAAATATGTAAATTTGTGTTTCAGTCATTTTTATACTGGCTTAAAAATACTTCATTAAGTCTACTAAGCAGGGGTGTAGAACGTTTTTATTAGGGCCAGCCCAGTAATGATCTTGGACCAAAATAAAGGGGGCAGAAAGTCAAATAAAGGGGGGAAAAGAAGATGTTTTTCCAGACGCCAAGAAAAATTAAATGCCAAATCCCCCTGCAAAGTGTGTCACTGAGAGTTTAAAACAGAAATTATTATTGTGCAAATATTGGTGTATTCACCTTTAATACTAGTTATTACACTGCAGCAGTCGCTGGACTGGTGCAGTTCAGAGTGGAGTGCATCAAATAAAACAATATTAACATAAAGGTGAGACGTGTCATAATCCCCCCCCCCCCTCTCCCTCCCCGCCAACACCACCTCCACCACAGCTGGAAAAATTCCTAGGGGAAACACTGTAAAGAGTTTGTATACTTATATAGGGGATAGAAAATCAACATAATTGGAATAAGAGTGCCTGTAAACAATATAACTTTGAAGGCAGATGTTGATTTAAACAAATTAAAATGGCTTTGGATTGAATTTTAATGAACATGTTTTTGATATTATCAGCACCTTGGCAAGAAACCCAAGAGGCACCTGAGCTTTTCCATTCACAGCCGTGCAGGTAGACACCACGCTTTGATTTTTACTTGACATGAGGGGACTTCTACAAAGTCTTTAATTGCATTCGACCAAGAAAATATTTTCATCCTATTTCACACCAAATGTTTCCTGCATGCTGAAATACAAAATCATTTTAGTCTGTTAGGGAGACAAGCACACATTTCCTTCTTAAAGAAAACTGTGGGGTGTTAAGGAGATCAAGCTTATCTCCTTAAACCTTTTAAATTATATATCCCAAATCCAGTTAATTTCACTTGTGACAGTACATTTACACATTTTTAATTAAACGTACAGCCAACATGGTCAAACTGTATTGCTCTAAAAATAGTCAC